GAGGCAGCTATATGGAGGTGACGAGGCAGGGCAGAGCTGCAGCACTGAGTGGCTCCCAGGATTGTATTCATACGTTCTTTGCTGCTGTTTTGTGCAGTAAGCCGTGTGGATTTTTCTGTACCGGTTTTCTGTGTTTGTGTTGTTTGGCTGTTGCAGAAAGATCAGATAATTCAACAAGGCAGTAGAAAATGCCAGTGGAAAAGAATCTACAAAGATTTACTTGTTCATATTTCTCCCGACACATTGCAGTGTAAGATGCCTGGTAGAGACAAGATAGAAGAGGGGATTGGATGCTTTGGTGGTCCCGATAATACTGAGAGTAGCTGTAACTTGTGAAGAGCAGCCATAGCTTGCCATGGAGATATTTTTATGCTTTCATCTGATCGAGAGAGTATGGGGTATCTTCTTTTTTTCCATAGCTTATTATCAATTTTCATGGATGGTTTCCCCAAGCCCAATTATGAGGTTGAAGAAAACGGCGTTCAGATTCTTTAAGGTTTCTTGCTAGTTTTTGAAGAGCTTGAAATTTTAACATAAGTAATGATTACCATAAAACGGCTGTTTTTTTCTGCAGCCTGAAGTTCTGGTAGCTTGACTAAAAACAAGGACTGCTGTGTAGTTATTACCTTGAGCTGGTGACTGTTCAGCTACAAAGCTAAGGAGTTGCTTGTGAGGAATTACCTGTACCTCTGAAAAAAGGCTCTGCTACTCCAGTTTCATCCTACGGACCCTCATGATTGCCTTAAACTGTTCTTTTTCAACAGCTGTAAGAAGTTATGATGCTCAAGGTATTGTGAACATTTCTTTAAAGATTTGCACAACAATCCATCTCTTAAGGGTCCTTATTGTATGAGCATCTTTAAGTATTCTACCATCAAGCAAACACATAAAACTATGTATCATGGTATTTCTAGCTGACAGTTGTTGCATGTCTTCCTGCTTTTAATACATTTAGTGACCCTTACTGAGGCAAGGGGGAGTTAGGAGTTGAGCTGAGTTTAAGGGGCCTGCGACCAGGAGGTAGATTGAGCCCCAGCAGTCTCTAGATACTGTGATGTCTTTTCCCCACTTTCTTTCACTCCTAAATATTTAGGAATGAGTACACTCTGATGCACAATATCTAGGAAGATGTACTGCTGATGGACTAAACTCTATTTGTTTACTTGGTTGAAACACATATCTTATAACTGCTTATAAACACAAAATAACTTTGGAGCTTTCAGCAGAATACTCCAGAGGAGTAATTCTCCAAAGCCTGTCGCATCCCTGGGCACTTCTCAAGGTTGTCCTAGATCTTGTCTCCTAACCAGTCCGAGAACATGCTGCCGTTCCTTCTGACCACGCATTAGGTTTCTGTGGACAGAAGCCCGTGGAAGTAAGAGGCTGACCTGAGCATGGAGTAAAGATGCAGTCAAGACCCAGGAGCCCAAAAGTACTCAAACATCTCCTAGTTTATGTACAGGCCTGGTCCGCCTTGCAGATGGCAGGCAAAGAAAAATCTGTAGGTCATAACTCTGCACTTACCTGAATAAATAACCTGATTGCTGGAGATTTTACAACAAGCAAACAAAAAAATCCCAACAACTGTATCTTTACATTAGAGAAGCAAGCACTATTTCATGGGATGTGCATAAGTAAGCAAGGTGCCTTTGAGTACTTGGCTTGGGCATACAGTGTTACTGACTGTTTGACCCAGAGATGTCACCTGTTTGGTGTGATTTGTCACCAAGAAATTGCTTCTAGTAACATTTCCCAAACAGTAACAATGCCCATATTACATATTAGCTGATATGTTGAAAGAAATTAACACAAAATTTCCATTCTTGAGTTGTTGAAGTCACTGAGTTATTAAAGCACAGAAAAATACCTGAAACTGAAACTAGAAAAGTGAGATTTTTCCACACTTAAAAAAAAAAAAAAAAGAAACCAAAGAAACTTTTCATGAACAGAACCTTTCATACCAAAACACACTGCTACAGCTTTTAAAACTGTAAAAGGAAAACAAAAAAGCGGAAAAGAAAGGGGATTTTACTGTAACTGGAAGCAGTGGCAGATTTTTAAGTGTAAGGAATAAGTATGGATGCTGACAGCAGTTTATGATGTGTGAGGATGAGTTTTTGTTTAGGCATAAATAGGTGAAGATGCAGGAGAAATCCTCTTGATGGGAGGAGGAATAATGCTGGAGAAATGGTCTGAATTTATTTCATGCAATACTTTTTTAATAACAGTGTCTATTAAAGACACCTGCTGGAAGTCTGTAATGCTGGTTTATTAGGGAGAAAAAATAACAAAGTTCTTGAGCAATCCTGTCTTCAGTTCAATATTATGGACTGTTAAAAGAGGGTTTATGTGTGCAACGTTATTAACTGAGATTCTGCTCAAATTGAAGTCAGGACCATAAACCTTGCTTTCTAATAGACCTTGCTAGGTTTCTAAAAGAAGATTTCAAAACTAAACAAGAGAATTAGAATATTCTTGCTCTATTTAGGATATTTTAAAGACAATAAGTCTTGGTAGATTTATATTTCCAAACAATTGTACTCTCTCTTATCACATGTGGCTTCTTTCTAGAGATGTTGAAGTGCAACAAAAATGGACCAATTTCCTGTACTAAGTCATTACTATTACTGGAGAGGAAAAGAAAATCTACCTCCGAAGTGACCAAAGTACAACTTGTAATAATAAAACACCCAATATTTTGTACTGGCTTTGTCAGGGCTAGAAGACATGGGCTCAGTTATGAGAGAGATTGGGGCGATGGGGACACTGTCCTGGAAAAGAAACTGAAGTCTGAGTTTATAGTGAGCACGTTGTTGTCTAACTGTGTTTAATATTGTAATTTGTTTAAACTTAAATTATGACGCCGAAAATAAAATACTAAAACACTGTGTTTTTATCACTTGAGTTTGGAGAGGCCTCATCTTTTCCGTGCCTGTAGCCCTGATGATTCTTTTGGCAGCTCTGCTGGCGATAAGGGGAATAACTCACCTCTGTCAGAGAAGCTGGCTGTTTCATCACTGACATGAGAGCCCAGCGTAACTGCACGGTGATGGCTGTCTAAATGACTTTTGTAATTTCTTCATCTACTTTTTGATTGAAGAGTGATAACTCGGGCGATGAGTTATTTGGCATCAGCCTCAGAGACAATCTGTTTTCCTTAAATAAATCCTGAGGCACCTTTCAGCCACCCAGTTTTAAAATAAGCCTGTAGTGGATCGGGTCTGATGTGCCTGGCAGATTTAGCCGAAGGTTGAAGTTAGGATTTGCTGCCCTTATTTCGCTTTGTCTATTGTTTGGTCATTAAATGAGAGTTGTAGATGTGGTACTGAGGAAAATGAGAAGTGGGCTGAAAGGCAGTTTTTATGTTACAGCACAGGGGTATGGCAGGGCATTTTGTCCCTGGTAGCAGAGGCACTATTTTGCTCAAAAGCACACACGGTTGTCCAAGAACCAGAGAGGAAAATGCACACTAACGCCAGCCTGGATCCGTAGCCTGGGATGTGGGGGACGTATCTAATAGAAGGGAAAATAACAATTAATTTTTCTTCTACAACTGAATACATATCCTAGTGCAGAGTATCTGTGTCTGAGATTAGAATGTAGAGTGCCATTACACAAGGCAGGGACTTGCTGCGTGTTACATTCAGTATGCAACAGGTTGATGTACGCTGCGAGCCTCGCAGGATTTCAGGTAAGGTTTTGCCTCTGATTTGTAGGGAACAGAAATGGTTTTCATGCTGAAATCACAAAGATGGGAGCCTTGGGTAGAGTTTTATTTGCAGGGTTCCTAACGTAGCTGTGGAGTGCTAAATATAACCTGAAGAGCTGCAGATGTGGCGGGTGTTTCAGGCTTCATCTTGGTTAATATCTGCTGTGCATGTGCTTTTTTAACAGCAAGACAATTCAATCTTACAAAAAGGGTTGAAGTTAATGTTTATGTTAAACTAATCAGCTTCCCATGTTTCTCTTTTTCTACTCTTAAGCTCTTTAGTTTAGAAAGAGCAGTCGGTGACAGGTATAAGCAAGTTTTACAGTGCTTATGTTACATGCACAGGGCTCCAGTTAGGATCTACATCCCTTTGTAGCAGGTGTTATGCACAAGTACATGGGCATGTTTTCTTGAAAGTGTGCACAATACAGGAAGCATCTTCATCAGGCTTGTGTCTTCATTTGGGCCACAAAAGCAAAGGTCATCTCTTTTTAGTTCTGTTCACACTTTGAAGTGATGGTGCATCATTGTATGGTTACCTTCAAATAGCTCTAACTATGCAAAGGTTAGTATTTGCCAAAGGAAAATAGGAGTTGAATGATAATAGATTTCATATTGGAGGCTCAGCCTTGGATCTGAGAGCAGTCACCCAAAACAAGGGCGAAGAGAATTTCGACAAAGTGTTGTCATTTTTTCTTTTCTCTCACTTTATACTTATTCTTTTCTGTTTTTTCCATTACGTGTGCATGAACAGATTTTTATTGATATTTTCCTTACGGTCTAGGAAGCATTTCTTCATGGAAAAGATGGAAGCATGACCTTCCTTACTGTCCAGAAACAGGCTGTTAGCTTTCTGATTCTGTGCAGCACAGCAGAATTTGTGGCAACAGGTGAAGCAGGACTGCAGCTTCACCCTTCCCCACATGCAGGGCGTGATTGAGATGGAAAGCAGCCTGCTGTACCCACATGAGCAGCACTGGGAGCGCCTCCTGTGGGTGGGGAGACACCATGCGTTCTGAGAAGTAGAGTTCTAGAAGTAGAGGTCCATAAGCGTGCAGCCGTCTCATTCACAGTACAGTGGCACTGAGTGCTCATTTGCATTGTGCTTGAGCAGATTCTGCCTTCTGATCCACTTTGGATTCTGCCCGTGTGGGATTTGCACAAAGGTTCGAACTTTCAGATCTGAATTTGCTTTCCGTGATTCTGACAGTGAAGTTTATCGATGTTCGATAATTCGACCTGACAAAAACTCGCTTTAATTTTTTGATTCGTGTTTATTCTTTCTCCGCAGCAAAATCTGCCAGTCAGGGCAAATTACACGAGTGATTCTGTGGAGGCTGAAGCGGGATCGCTGAACTCATTGTCACGCGTGGCTAAACAGAGAACTGAGCCTTGTGAAAGGTTAGTGATTTTAGCTAATTTTTAAGCTCTTGCACAGGAGGTGATACAGCTGCTGTCAGTCTGCTGTAATGCTGTTCTCCGCTGGATCTGCCCTTGCAGAGGCACTGCTTTCTCTCAGTGATTAAGGGGAGACATTGCTTTCAGAGGTGCTGATTCAGCAGAGCAAAGAGTCAGTAAATTAGCAATGACTGTAAGGGAATTTTAAATATTGGTTAAGTATGAAACTTCTATTGTTACAGCGTCTTGGAGGTGAAATTCTAATTAAGTTACCCTACCAGGCAGTGTGGGAGAGATGACAGTCACAATACAGAATAGCGGGGAAACTGTATAGCTAGGTTTTGGGTTCTCAGTGCCATTGCTATAAAATGATGCTAAAGGGCCACGAAAGAATAACCAAGTATAGTTGTATATTCTCCTGGTCTGTTTATATAGTCACAAAGTGATACAGACTCTTGACATGTAAATTAAAATTAAAAAAAATCTGGAATGAAAGAATACTACCTTCCTACATGCTATCATTGGCATGTCTTGAAAATACAAATTGCTTGGCTAGTGGTACAAGTAACTCTATCCTTAAACACTGATCCGTCAGTGTGCTGAGCTAGAAGCAATATGCCAGTTACTGTGAAAAAATGGTGGAGACTCAAGGACAGTGTAGATCAGTATGCACAGTGACCACACTAACAGGTTATCTTCCTGTGAACGAGTCACACAAAAGTAAAACACTTATTTTTTCTAAGTTTTGTACGGGTAACAAATTGATAGAAGAAATGTGAGTCTGCAAGTATAGATAGGTGAAGTGGGAAGGGAATGACTGTACATCTCACAGAACAAAGAAGAGGGCAAAAAACAAAAAGCTGTGCGTGTGATTTTTTTCCATGTTATGCCATGGAAAAGTTAAAAATGCTTTTACCATTTTCTATTTAGAGGTGTTTTTACTAGACTGTGTATTTATGCAAAGAGAGTGCTTTGGTATTCTTGGTCAGAAGCGCTAGATTTCTGTTGGCTATTTCCCCATAATTCATGGCAATACCAGGTTTTTTGTCTGCATTGCCTTACTTGATCAGAGTATCTTGCTGAGATAAGAAATGTAAACCAGGCTGAAGCAACTTAAAATATCTATTGCATGAAAATTGTGCTGCTATATTGCTACAACACAAGTATTTGTTAAGTACAGACAAAATATGGACAGAAAATGGGGATGTAAACACCCCACTTGAGCACATCTACTATCATAAAATCAACTGTAATTATAATAGCAGGATTTTAGGCAATACTTTCAATAGTCTGCAAAGTTACTAGTTCCCCTGGAAGGTGAAAATGTCTGTCGAGGTAGCAGAGTGAAATGAGGAATCATAGGCACTATCTTTTCTTTGTTACTTCATTGTTCCACGGCCCATATTTTGTCAACAATAATAATGCTTGGAAGGGTTTGAGAGCTGCAAGCAATGAACACTAGTTATCTTTAGTGTATGTTTCTGGCAAACTCTGAAACGAGATCAAGGAAGAACCAGAAGGTCTTCAGTAGTCGCTTCTTATTTTACCAGCTACACTTGTCATGTATTTCAATTTGCACTGTTACATGTAATGAATACATACATATACACATGTAGGTATGTGTATATATGTATGCTGAACTTTAAGGCTTCTCTTCAAGAATGGCTGCAACAGTCTTGGGTTCAATATTTTTGGAGAGCTGTAGAGGCCAAAATATCCACCATTGTTGTATTCATTTCAATATGACAAAACTTACCAAGAAGAAACAAGGAGTGACATCCAAGACATCTGTAGAGTGGTCATGAAGACTGCAGAATAGCAAGCAGGAAGCACAGTGCTTGTGTGCATCATTTATTGGACATTCCTGAGAGTAAACTGAAGAGATCATGGCTGATCAGCAATGAGAAGCTTTCAGAAAGAAGAGTCATTCTGAAATACGAAAACATACCTGAATGTTGAAAAGTTATAGGATCATAAACACTGGCAGGTGTAGTACTAAAGATACAATTAGGCAGAGCAGTTCAATATCCTTCTTCCCACACATCAGGGAGGAAAAACATTTTAAGTGAGTCTGCATATAAAAAGGGTATAAAATGAACCCTCAGGGAGGACAAAGTCACTGGAAAGAGCCTGAACTCTTTGTATCCTTGTTCTCTGTGGAATAAATTGGGGAAATTCTCTCACCAGGGCCCTTTTCAGGCGTTCAGGGAGCTCCACAGAGTATTATTCGTGAATTGTATCTGAAAAAAGTAATAATACAAAAGAGATGACTCTCTAGGATTTGAAGAATTTATTAAGAGTTGTAGGAGAACTCAGGGATGAAATATCCAATGGCAACACGTAACCTGTCGCTTTGTTGTTCCTCTCTATGTGAAAATCAGAAGGTGTCAAATGGGATGTCAATCATGAAGAAAGGCTCCAGGGGCATCCAGCAAAATAAAATTAGACATCTGTTCTGGGTGAACAAGTAGATATTGTAATAAGCAATCGAATTAATATCTACCTGAATAAATATGATCTAATTAATGAGAGTTAACAAAGAACTTGGACTTGTTTGAAGAAGTCACTGACATGTAGATGAAAACCATCTAACTGATGCAGTCAACTTGGATTTCCAAAAGACTTGACAGAACTTATCAAAGTGTTTCAGAAACCCAAGCAACGTAAGGCTGTTGCTGGCATAAGAAGGAAGGCCTTGAAAGATGATTTGAAAGATTTGAACTCAACATAGACCATCACTGGGTTTAAGTGCACATTCATTTTTTAACAGGAAGATCAATAGTGAAATTCCGTATGGTGTCTTTGTTGGGACCTGTACCATTATAGTCTTAAATCACAGGCTCGTAAAATAGTTTAGGTTGGAAGGGACCTTAAACACCATCTAGTTCCATCCCCCATGCCATGGTCAGCAATAACTCCCACTAGACCAAATGTTCCAAGGCCTCATCCAGCCTGGCCTTGGCCACTTGCACAGATGGGGCATCCACAGCTTCTGTGGGCAACCTGTTTCAGTGCTTCACCATCCTGTGAAGAATTTCTTCTTTACATCTAACCTAAACCTACTCTGTGACTTACAACCTTCCGGTTTAAAACCGTTACCCCTTGTCTTATCAATGACCTGGAGGAGGAAAGTTATTGGTGAGGTGGCAAAGCTTTGCTGATGATAGGAGGTAATGCAGGATTGTAAGGGCGGACTGCAAGACGTTGTAAGACTGACTGCGCAATAAAATGATGGGTGCACCTCAGTGTAGATAAAGGATACTCTACTACATGTAGAGTAGTACATCCAGGGAAGATGAATCCTATCTTCACTTCTTGGGTCATTTCTAAGTTGGCCTAAAGGTCTTCAGGAGCAATATCTTTTGGTTACGGTAGACAGTGCCATGAAAATACTGGCTTAGTAGAGAAAGAAGAAAAAAAGTTCTAGGTTAGGATTTATTGCTAAGCAAAGAGAGAACAAAATGGAAAGGATCATTGTGTTGCTGTTGAAGTCCATTTGTCACTGTAAAAATCCAAGGTTTGCATGCTTTTGAATACTGCATGCAGTTCTATCTTGAAAAGGCATGCTAGAACTAATAAATATTCTTGAGGTGATGATTAGTCACATACTGTGACTTCCATACAGCATACGAGGAGCTCCACACGTGGAATAGTCAAAACTCTGGAAAGATACGACTGGGGAAATGTAAGAAGGTATCTGCAGAACTGAGAGATCTATAGAACAGAGGAGTGGCTTTTCACCTTCTCTGCCACTACAAGAATGATGTATACCAAAAGAAGTTGGTCAGAACAAATCCTTGGAAGAGATGCTGTAGAGTGTACTAACTAGATAATCACATAACCTAACCTGAAAATGGTTGGAGGCTGGGAGGCCGTGAGTGCGTTTACCTTGTTCTTGCTTTTCCTCTCACAGCTCTGTGATAGATGGACCCACAGTCTGATCCAACACTGAAGTTTCTACATAACTTTCTTACACCAAAGTCAGGGTTAAATAAATGAAGTTATTAACTGCTACAATACATTTGTAACTTTCAAGCTCCCCAAGTAATCATAATGTTACAGCAAGTTAGGGCTGGAAGAGGCCTTAAGAGTCAACTAATCCATCCCCTGTTCCATGGTTAGCAAAATCAATTACGTTCATGTCTTTACAGACAAATTTGTCTATCCTGTTCCCACAGCTTTCAGTGATGGAGACTCAACAGCTTCCATAAGCAATCTATTTAAAGTCTCACTATTCATACTATGAGAAAGATTTTTTTTTTCCTGTCTAACTGGAATCTAATCAGCTGTTGTTTGCTGTAAACCATTAGTTAACTGCAAGTCTGAGCTAAGATGAGAGGCGTCCTAGACTTCTGATGAATGTTGTCTAGTGACTTTAGTGACTCTGGAAATAGCCTGGAAGCAGGGCTGGTTTTCAATAGCGCTATCAGTTCGTTGTACTTTGCTTAACATGACCAATTAGGATCCTTTTAGGGATTTTCAGGTTATTTTAATGTCTTATCTCTTTAGCATTTTTTTGGCCTCAGGGAATCAGAAAGCGTGCTTTCTAAACGCAACGTGCTTTGACTTCAGGGAGGGCGAGTTGAAAGGGGTGTCTTCAGAAAGAGCAGGACAAAAAGTGTTTGGTTGTTTGCTTTTTCAAGATGACTAAAAACCGGCATGTAGTATTTTATTTATTGTTTTTTCTTCTTCTTAGTTTTTTTGCTGTGGCATCTAAATGCTGGTTTTGCCAATAAATTTACTGAATTATGTGTGCTTGAGATTAAATGTCTGAACCATCTTATGTGATTTTATTCATTTCACTTAAGCTCTTCTTCTTGCCGGTGATCACTAATTCTGTTCCTCATTTTCTATGTACCAGACTTGAAAAGGGGCTTTTGATTAACAGAAATGCTAGGCACCTGCAAATCCTGCTGAATTGATGTGGGCTGATCTCATGATACGTGGCGTACCTTAAGTTGTCTAAAATACAACTTGAAAAAAAAATCAGCTCAGATTAGGTATTTTAGCAAAAGATTTAAGCTTGGTTTCTTTGTTTCAGTTTCCAGTTTCTAACATGAATGAGAGCACTATCCTCTCACTTGCCATAAACTGTGAAAAATAGTTTATTGGTACGTGAAGCACTCAGGAGTCATAGTGGTGGTCATTCCACGGAAACGAATGTCTAGGAACAGGGGTTTGAATTAGTAAATAGACGTGAGGTCATATGCAGTACAAGAAGGAAAAAATGTATTAAATAGCTGTTCACTGGTGAGCACTGACAATTCTGTGTACAGAATGAAGCAAACATCCTGTGGAAAAATAGTTTGTGAGGGTGTATTTGAAGACTTCATCATGCAATGGATTACACAAGGAAGCCAAATAAAGATTGCACAAGTGCTTTGATTTTGGTGGTTTTAAATTCGTTGACTGCAAAGCTTTAACCTCACTGACATGCTTTTAATCCAAGTCTTCATGTGTGCTAAATACACGTGTTGGTAGATTGTCAACGACGGCAGACTCAGAAAGACAATGGCAATAGTAGTGGGCACTTTGGAATGAGGGGGAATACAGAGCGTGTCTCTTGCTTGAAGGCTGAACTTACATCAGTCCTACAAAAAAAAAACCCAAAAAACAACACTGTGAAAAATGACCTTTTGTTTTGTTTCTCTGAAAACTAAGACTGAGTGAAAACCTTTATGTTTTAACGTGATACTTGATTGGTTACGCCAAGGATTGTGGAACCATCATCAGTCTCCCACATGGAAAAGGATGAACAGTAGTGCTCCTTAGGTTCAGTCTCTCTTTCTGTCTCAGAAGATTCCAAGTGATCATCTTCACTCTGGAACTCTTATAAATGACTGACAGTTAACAGCAAATGCCTGGAAGAAAAAAAAAAAAATTCCCTCAGCTGCTTCCTCATCAATAAAGCTGGGATTTGGTTTTACAGATGAAAGATTTTCTGTTTGTTGCCTTGCTAATTCAAGCTAAATGGAAATGGGCAGCCTTTACTGAGGAGTGGGCTACTCAGTGTAAGAATGACTACATAAGTTTGAGTTCCTTCATGTATATTTCTGGTGTAAGCCACGAGGAAACCCCCCAGCATCTCTTCAGGAATTTTCCTTGTGTCCTTTCTTCTCTCTCTCTCTCTGTCTCTCTCCCTGATTTCCACCTTTCCATCCCAGTTACTGACCTGGGATCCTTTCTCCCCTTTGCCCTCTCAACTCGCTGTTTCCATGGGCACCTACAGCTGCTACCTCTGGAACCAGATGCTCATAATAAAGGAAAGGTACACTGTGGCCTACCTGGATTACTTACCTTAGTTTTGCTTCCTAACCTAGGATGGTGTTTCAGTAACATTCCTCTAACAATGCCACTCCATGTCAATTCTGCCACTTCAACAACTGTTTCAATTTCTGCATGGATTGCATGTAGGGTAGCTGCCCAGGTGCTCTGGGAAGAAATGGGTGCAGAAAGGATGAATTATCCCTTAAATCTTGGTGTGCATCTGTTTAGCCTTGTTGCTAATGACGAATGAAAGTCTTTGTGCTACCCAAAGAAAGAACAGAACCCAGCACTTGTAGTTCTGTTCACATGTTTGAAGCACAGACCTACAGTTTATATTCTTTTATATGAATGTTACCCTCAGTATAAATAGAAAGTAGTTTTTGAACTTGGACTAGAATGTTAAGAGAAAATTTCTCTCCTGCATTTTGTGTGAAGCCGTCTGCTGAGCCTACAGTACCGTGCCAGTGTTAAGCTCTGCCTTCTCAAGGCTCTGGGAAGGCCTGTTAGCATTAACTTTGTGGATTTAGAGATGCTTACAGTCTGGAACCTCATTCAGATTTCTCTACTTGTAAAGCACATGCAGAAGCTTTGCTGTGATGGGCATTTTTTCCTTGGTTGGTGGGGCCACATAAAATGCTCTGGTTTTACATTCTTGTGACCTATCTATAATCATAAGAGGACAGTGTGAGCCTTCTTTTTGCATCCTTTCCCCATGGTTTTTGTGTCTGGATTTAGTGGAGTGCTTAGGCGTTTGTATCTGGCATGTGTATCTCAGTCCATGTCACAGTCCCGCTCTAATACCTCACTGAAGTGGAGCATTCAGTGTTGTTCACAACTGGAAAGAATTGGTACAAATTCTGACTTGGATTCCCCATGTTCTGCCACCCGAATAGCATAGAACTACTGGCAGGCATGTAGCTCTGAGAGTGTTTCAGGTTTTTGTATTTCCACAGCCATCACTTCCTGCAGTCTGCCTTAGAGCCCCGACTTCTGCAATTTTAACTAGCTTTCCGATTTTCTTTGTTGCTTCCCCTTCACCCCTCATTGTTTTGCTCTCCTGTTCCTTTTCAACCTCGATGACTTTTCTTTAACTATTTAGAGCAACTTCTTTTGCTCCAGCCTCAGTTCATTGCTGGAAGGATTCCTGCAGCTCCAGCTCTCTGACAGCCGCAATTCATGGCCACTCCAGCTGTCCTGAGAATGTTAGCCATGCTGCCACACTGCACTTGGATTTCACTGATGCATTTGTGGAGGTCTTGGGGTTTTGTTTTTAATCAACCCTCAATTATATGGCTTTTCTTTTAACTGCTCTGGAGATGACATTATTGTTCTCTTTGGCCTACAGTTGTATTAGGCAATGTGCACTTAAATAGCTTACGGTAGTAAGTGAAGTACATCTGATGTGCTCACTGTATCCTGGAGAAACTTCACCAGAAATTTTTGAAGTGCTTTTTGTGATATAAGAAAGCTTCATCCGTTCCCAAAAGGCATCTGTTGTCTGGCTTCCAAAGTTACTGTACTCAGTGGGCACCTGAACTGTTGATGCTAGGCTGGCCTTGCAGCAGATGCCAGTGTCACCATGGCACCCATTGACTTACACAGGAACCGTTTAATTATGGTAAGAGCTCTCAGCAAGGTTTCTACCAGGCAGCGGCTCTGAAAGTCACTCTGCTGCCCATGGTGGTTTGAAACTTGCTACCCCAAAGCAGCAGTTTGCAACCTATATGAGAGCACCAGCACTTCTGGCACAGCAGGGATCAGCTTTATCCTCAGGGTACTTTTAACGTTGCCCATCTACTGGATAGCCCGTAGCTCGGCTGACAAAGGGGAAGTGGTTTCAGTGTGTCGCTCTGCAAATATGTATTTTCTATGTGATGTATGGAGCTCCTCCCATTGATATGACTAGCTGGGTTATCTGTGGGGCTTTACTTGTTCTGAAGCCGCTATTGATTAAATGCTGAGATGGTTTTTTTTCAGAAGCTGTCATTGGAACATGCTTAGGCTGCATTTGCTGTCAGCTTAGCAGTCATGTTGCTGCATCTTCCTCTGAATTCCTCTCCCAGCTGGGCTCTTTCATTTCTTAGCATTAAAATAGATTCTTCCTAATTAGACAGATCTCTGTCATGATAATCATCTTGAGAACGTATGCTGTATATTCATATTGCGTCTCTTTTCACAGATCAGGCCCATGCTTTGTAATTTTTCAGAATCGTAACTGACTGAACAGATCCTTTACCAGGCAATCATCCCCCGTAACCCTCAATTAGTGCCCTGCCAACCGATACTGGCAGGCATCGGCGAGTGCACCATATATCCCTCAGCCCTTGGGAATGGATATAGTTCCCCAAACAGCAGATTTCGGCTGTAGTGTTTCAGGAGCCTCAGCGTTAGCATCCTTAAATAAAAGCGACCCAAAACCAAAGGGTGAAACCTCCCGGCTATTGCGCTATTTTACAATTGCCATTCAGCTTCCAGCACCGAGCTCCGGCTACCGCAAAACTTCGCGGTTCCGCTCGTCCCCCTTGAAGGCACGGCGCCGAGCCAGGAGCGGGACCCGGAGATCCCCGTGGGTCCCCGCCGCTCCGTGGGGTGCCGGTGCTCGGCGCACGGCGGGCTGCAGGGGGCACTGCGGGGAGCTGCGGAGCGGCGGGGCTGAGCTCAGCTACTCGGCCGCTGCCGGGGAGAGTTCGGGGGGGAGAAGGGGAACGAGCCCGCGTGCCCCCGCCGGCCTCGCGAGGCGCTCGTTGCCGATCGGTGTCAGTTACCCGCTGGTAAGGATTTGGTCTGCTCGTGGCCGGGAGCTGTCGCAATAGGAACGCGATAAAAGCCAACTTGGAGGCTGCCGAGGAGACAAAGGCGGCTTTTTGCCGTTGTCGGGAGCTCGGAAGCCGTGCCCTGTGCCAGCGTGCCGCGGCACAAACGGGGACGGCGTAGGTCAGCTCCACGCCCGGTGCGTGAGTTCCCACTTCTCCCTGTTTCCAGCGGCGCGTTCCAGCACAGGGGTGTCCCCAAGAGACGGGGCTCGGCTTCACGCATCTCTGTTCAACAAGGAGTTGGCAAACACCGGCTGACACTTTGAACGCGAGAGCCGTGCGTCTGCCGAGCGCTCCAGCCGCTGCCGTCCGGTTGCGGGCGGCCCGGCAGCGCTCCCCGCCGCATCGAACGCAGAAGTTCGGCGGGCTCGAGCCGCTCGCTTCTCGCCGTTCGTTATGCAGCGGTTTACGCCGGAGGGAAACGCGGCGTGCCCCCCCGCGAGGCCGCTGGCAACGCGGGCTCGGGGCCGCCGCTCTGGGCATGGCGGGGAGGGGGGCCGAGCGGGGCGGCAGGTGGCGGCCGTGCCGAGTCGCGCGGCGCCGGGGGGCCCGGCCGCGTCCGCTCCCGCTGGGTGGCGTCCGCGCCGGGTTTTGCACCTTGTCCCCGGGTCTGCCTCCCGGCCCGGGGAACCGCGCCGTGCGCCGAGCGCTGCCGCCCTGTATCACTCCGCTGGCACGGAGGGGAGGAGGAGGAGAAGAGGAGGTGGAGAAGGAGGAGGAGGAGGGCCCTCGATCATTGTGGCGGCGGCGGAGCGCGGCGCCCGGCTGTGTGAGCGCGGCGCTCCGCACGGGCTCGGCGGCTCCGCTCTCCCCGGCGCGGCCCCGGCTCGTGCATGTGCGGGCCGGCCGCGGGCCGAGGCGTGCCGCTGGGTTCCCGTTGCCATGCGGCCCGGCAGCGCGAGTACTTTGCGAGCGCGGCGCGGCACGAGAGCCCAAACTTTTCTCTAGGAGGAACGTACAATGAGCGAGCGGCCGTGCCCGCCCCTGGGTGCCGGGGCGCGCGAGTGAGTGTGCGGCGTGTGCACGGCGCGTGCGAGCGTGGGCGCGTGCGGAGTCCCCGCGTGTGCGTGTGCCGTCCCCGCGTGCGCGCGTGTGTGCGTGCGGAGGGGCGCGTGTTCCCCTCACCCATGGGGAGCGCGGGCTCTGGGAGCGACCTCCGGCGGCCCCGCGGAGCCGCTCTGGGCACCACGGATCGCGGAGGAGCCGCGGGAGGCGAAGAGCCGCGCTGAGCCCCGGAGTTGGCCGCCGCCGCCGCCGCTCAGTTGTTGCGCCGCTTCCCGGCGGTCACCCCCGGCACCTTCCCCGCTCGCCGCACCCCCTCCCACCCCCCCGCCGCGCTCCGCTCTTCTCCTCCTTCATGTTTTGGAGCTCCTCGAGGGGGATTGGCTGGGGGCGAGCAGCAGCGCTCGCCGGGGATCGCCGCTTCCCCGCTACATGCCGGTGCCCCCCCCCGCCCCGCGGGGCTGTGAGCGGGACCCCGCGGGGGGCAGCGCGCCGAGTTCCTCAGGAGCGGCGCGCGCGGGGCCGGG